ATGATCCAATTGTGTTTGTACGTGTTAGAGTCTCTCAATATTTTTAGAGAATCTCAAATGAAAACCCCTCTTGTCTCTCCCTCTCCTTTTTTTCTTTGGATTTTATTGATTTTTTTTATTGTGAGAAACTTAATGGGGAAGCTCTAATAAATAAACTTTTTTCTGGTCAACACCTTATAAATAAACTTGAAACTTGCAGAACGTTTATTTTCTTAATTTTGAAAAATTAGGGTCAACACCAAATGATCGTTTGCAATCTAAGTTGAGTGGCGTGTTATTAAGCTAAAACATAATCCTTATCCCAACCCAACGGGTAATGATAGCAAAACAGGTAGAGAGATTCGGAGAGGACAACCTCCTCTGAATACGTGATCATTATGCGAATCTGAACACGAAACATGGATTAGAAGTTTTCAACACGGGAACATGTCCTACATAATTGCATCTACATGGTTAGAGACCAGAGAAATGATCCACAATTATAAAACTAGATAATAGCACCTGATCGAACAAAAACTATTTAAGAAATTGAAAAGAAAAAACAAGTCGAAACCAATTTGAAGGAAACCCAAAAATACAGAATCAACTTGAGAAGATTAAATATATGATGATGATATTGAAGTCTGCTAGTAATTAAGTGGACACTTGTACAACCAACTCTATACATAATCTCTCTCTAGCAAAATGAAGAAGAAGAATCTTGAGAGAATCACTTTAATGAAGAAGATAAGTCTTATACCTGAGAGGCTTAACTTAGCCAAAACCACCTCACTCAGATTACTATATAACCTTACACTGCCTCTCTCACGAGTCTCCTCCACAGAATCTTTCTTTGTTTATCGACCAAACTTAAGACTCCAAGAGAGATTACATCTTCAGGCTGCTCAACAATGGCTCACCAGATGCCAGGCTGTCTATGGAACTGCAAAGGGTAGCCGTGAAACGGATAGGGTCTAGCCATGTGGACCGGCTTTATGGCTGTAGGTATTGTCCAAGCTAACTCTCTTCTTGGCGGCGGCATAGCCCTCCTTCTGTCCACTTCTATCAGTTTGCACATCTCCTGAATCACCTCTGTCACCAATGAAACAAAGAGCCCGCTATTTAATCATAAAATCACTTTGCAGTAAATTTCATTCGTTCGAGTTTTAGATGAGACTATTAACCCTAGTTCCAATCTCGATATGTTCCCGTGGAAGTAAGAACTTGAGTTCATCAAGACTAGACTAAAAATGCTTCAACTTATTATGTGATCAAAGAATTGGCAATTATAAAGAGAAATATTATCAACTGCTAAAACCAAGTAGAGAGCATCTTGTTCTTTAAAACCATTACCTTTTAATTGCTTAGTTGTTACTCCAAACTCCAACCACCAATCTCTCCTGCTGCCTACTTTCGCGTTCTGAAACGTGGTAGCTAGGTGCACAGTGGCAGTTGCAATAACATGGGGTCTGTACTGCAAGCATAACGTCGTTCGAAGCCTGCACATAATCCATTATAAGATTATTTTTAAACTCCATGTGGGGGACAAAACAAGGAGAAACTATATGATTCATTAGCAAGGGTCTTTACCAATCATGCACAAAATTCCATGCAGCTGTGGCAAGGTCAGGCCAAGTGTTCAGCCTATTCAAAGCCGCAGCCAGAGGTTTGTAGGGAAGTTCAATGTCAAGAAGATGGAAAGCACTCGTATCCAGCAGAAGTCTCTCCCCGGCCAAAATGAATTCTTTAAATTCATGGTAATATTCCTACAGGAAGAGTAACGAGTATTAAATAAGCACATTGAGCAATGCAAATTTACAAATAGATAAATTTTACAAATACTTACAGTTTGATGGATTCTCATTGAGGCAGAAGGATCCCACTCATAGATTATTTCATAAGACGAAACAATGACACTGGACAGTTGACATGGCTCATCTTCTGCTTTGCAAGCGAGGAACAGACTGGCAGTTGCTATTGTCTGCAAATCACCAAGTGAGAATACGGAAAAATAAAAAAAATCTTAATCAGGAGAGACTGAACAACTTTATAATATTCTTTTCTTTTCATCAACATATGTGTTGCTCACAACCAAATTCTGTATAAAGTATCAATTTCTTGGTTAGAGAATATCCAATCATCTGTATTTCCAGTCAGCTTCAACGAATGCATTTGATGAACCATATGAATGCTAAAATGGTTACCTGCCAGTCATTTTTTGCATGAGATTGGCGCATGTAAAACCGATGGCACATCACCATTGCACACCCTACTGTGACCTGGGACCTGAAGCAATGAGATCGTCAAAAAACCATCTACAGCACAAAAATCGTATCATGAAATAGTTCGATATCATAATATCTTCAGCAGTCAAAAGCTTAGACATTACTTTCACCGAAACCGACGCACGTGATTAATGCAAAATACAAAAACACACCAGTACCTATGATAGATGATTCAAAAATAGTGGGCCGAGGAGAGACGCGCACTTGCTCAGTAAACTAAGAACCTCAGTTGGTAATGGTAGGAACAGCTGAAGGTTTTGATAACCCAAGCAAAGAATTTACAAATACATACATCAATCAGAAGAGCATGTATAAACAGGTGAAAAGCTCCAAAGCAAATTCACGACAACGACAGATGCAAGCCTCCCATTGCCGATGAGAAGTAGGCCAAATATATGATGCATAGACACCAAATTTTGACTATCTTATTACGTAATTCTCCATTCTTAAGATAAATATGTAGAAAAAATGGAGAATTTCTAGTTCAAGAACCTCCAGACCACCTCCCACAGTGGCCCTACGACAAAATTTCAACAGTTAGGCTAGCCATTGTCATGCATTAGGCACCCTCTTTAGCTAAAAAAAAGTACCAACAAAAATCAGAAGCATTAAGTGTACTCTACGAAGCAACCAACCAAAGAACAAACACTACTTCCCACATAGATAAAACCCAAAGAATACTATTTTGAGCTTACACATTGAGCTTCATGCCAAGTCTTTGCAAGAAGGTGCAATACGAAGACCGTAAAAACGACTCCTTCACCAAGTCAATCCCATCCTTTCTAGATGGAGAAAAACGCTCAATCTCTTCCTTGCTGAAATACCACTTTGACGTTTCGCATTGAGGTGACCCCGACAAAGGTACGTGTCTCCCTTCCGCTTCGAAATTTTGTCGGGACCGCTTCCTCGGATGCTCCTCTCCCATAGCAACGACTAACGAAAACGTTACAATCTTTTAAAAACTAACAAGACAAACTCAAATATATATATGAAGCTGCAGATTTTGCTGACGAATATCTGCAAATGGCAAGCACAATCGTTAAACGAAAATTGACAAATAAATGGAAAAAAAAAAATCTGTAAATATAACAAAATTAATTATCAAAGCTGAATTAGACTTCTTCTTTTGGACATAACATAACAGGACGCAAATCTGATTCCAGTTTCACATATTATGTTACTTTTATTGCAGCATTAACAAAAGATTTAGGAAAATAATCAAAACATATTCGATTAAATCAGATACAACAATGAAATCTGGAAACAGATCGAATAACTACAAAAAACGTCGTGAAAGATTTGAGCGATGAGATCAAAGGAAAAACGAAATCGAATAGAAGAAAAAACACGAAAATTGAAAAGCAAGATTTGAGATTTCACTAACCCACGTTTTGCTTGGCGAAGAAAAGATCTTTTGGAACTTTGAAATTTCTCTGCCTTTTTTCTTTTGTTTTTCTTCTAATCTCCGAAAAATATCTAAAAGCGGTGACGCGATTTAATACCTAAACGATAAATATCGGTTCTCAAGCAAATGGGCCAGATTTTTCGATGAAAAGTATAGTTAGTGTGTATAATGGATATAGGCTTGGGCCCTTTAGTGGGATTTTTTATCCTAACATCTACTCAATGACAGTCAAAAAGGCATAAATTAAGCAAATATATGCGGTGCGGATTCAAAATATATTTGAATAAAATTATAAATTGCTATTATCAATAATTATGATATTGATGTAGAGATATGTGTTATATAATGATTGTGTGTAGATGTAAATGTATTTTGTAAAAATAAAAATTATGATTCATTATTGTAAATTTTTGATTAGCAATTAGCTTTTTAATTAGGTTCATGTTCCACATTATGACATNNCAAGAGGAAGATTTGATGGTAAGAGATCGAAAATAGACACAANAAATTTTCTTCCACATACCATTTTTCAGTGTTTCTCAAACTCATTCAAATTTTCTCAAACTCATTCAAGTTTTTAGAGATTAAACCATGTCATATTTTTCTATAGATATGTCATAATTTTTTCATGACAAGTCATAGTTTTGAGCCAATAAAATTAAAAAAAAAATAATCATTCTAACTAATTGTACTTCTCTTTTAATAGGAAGGAGATGTTGT